GCCCGCCGCCGCCGCCGCCGCCGCCGCCACCGCCACTCGCTCCGGCTGCAGAACAATAAAGCAAGCCTCCCGGAGACCCCCGCCAAGGACCCCCGCCCGACGGCCGAGTCCCCGTGGCCCTGCCCTCTCCGCGGGCGCCAGCTGAGAGCGCCCAGGCGCTGGCCGCGGTGCTGCCCAGGCTGGCGCTGGCCGCGGTGCTGAAGCTGCAAGCGCTCCTGCTGTTGCCGCCGCCGCCGCCGCGTTCTCCGGGCCCCGCGCCGCCGCCCCCGGGGGAATGGGGGGCGCTAACTGAAGCTCCGCGAGGCGGCGAGGGGGGGAGGGGAAGGGGGCCGCGGGGCCGGGCCAGCCCTGCACCCATTTGCAGCCTCCGGGCCCGGGACGGAGCGGCTCCCCCCCTCTCCGCCCCCCCTCCCCCCAGCCTCCTCCCCCGCCTGTCCAGGGGCGGCACTGCGGGCTGGGAAGCCGGGACCAGAAGAGGGAAGGAAGGAAGGAAGGAAGGAAGAGGAGAGAGGACAGAGGGGAGGAGAAAGGAAGGAAGGAGAAGACGGAGAAGAGGGGTCCGGAGGGGCACAAGAGGAGACGGCTGCACTCGCGCGACAGCATCCACAGGCCACAGTGGGGACCAGTGCTGCCTCCGCCGCTCTTCGGATGGTGACGGGGCCTCGCCGCGGCTGCAGTCCCCTTGAGCCCCGGCTCCGCAGGCCTTCAGCGCCGGAGCCCCGCAGGAATCATGCCCAGGTCCTTCCTGGTCAAGAAGGTCAAACTTGACACGTTTTCTTCGGCAGACCTCGACAGCTCCTACGGGCGTGCCCGCAGCGACCTCGGAGCACGACTGCAAGATAAAGGTGAGAGCTGGGCTGGGCTGGGGCGAGGGGCCCAGGGTTTTTCTGGGAGGGTTGGGTCCCAGGATGTGGAGATAAGAGACGCAGAATCCGGGAAACAGACTCGGGGGAACCAGGACTGGCAGGAGGCTGAGGCGGAGCTGGGACAGAAGCAGAGATGGGTATGGGGAGGGGGGTACAAAGAGGCAGATCAGACCCCAGCCAAAGCTGGGGAGAGAGTGTGAGTGCAAGAGAGAAGGTTGGGAAGAGAGGTCAGGAAGAGAAGGGACTGAAGTCACTCATTGACCCATACCCTGACCCTTCGGAGACCAGCACAGCTACTTAGACACCTGCTGACATGACAGGACCCAGACACATAGGCACATGCAGACCCACACCCAGAAACTTGGCCCACCTGACTACCCTCTTCTCTTTCTTGGCTGCACCTCTAGGACTCCTGCAAGGGTTATCTGGGGAATGCTGGGAGCTCCATGGAGGAGCCATGGGGCCCAGCATGGCTGCCCACCTGTCAGGGCCAAACAACCAGCAGAGGCAGAGCAGTATCTTCTCTGAAGTCAGGATCAGGGGGAAGGCTGTAGGCAAGCTAAACCCAAGGTGTTGGAGGTAGGAGAGGCTCTTTGTGTCAGGGTGCCCAAGTTCAAGGACAACTGTTAGCATGCAGGCAAGGGGACTGAGAGTGCCAGCAGTGTAGGGTGGCAGAGCAAGTGTGACCTGCAGGAGCATGAGCCTGTGTGAGCCCATGTGACTGCATGTGGCCATGTGACTGTGTGAGCTTGTGTGTGACCCTGTGTGTGTGTGCCTGCCTGTGTGCCACTACATGGGACCATGTGACTCTGAGACTGCTGTGCACCATGTGACCAAGAGTGTGTCTGGGATGGCTGCATATGTAACCCTGCATGAGTGGGTGGTGAGTGCCATGGTCAGTGTGCAGCCTGCCCTAGGAGGGGACCTCAGGGCTGATGGTGGCTGACAGGCTGGGTGTAACCCTGAAAGAACAAGAGCCTGCATCTTGAGAGTTCCTCTGTGACTTGAGGTTTCGAGATCCATCTTGTGTCTTGGAGCTGCAGTTACTGGCATGATTGATGGGGCCCTCTTGCAGCTTGCTCCATGAAGGTGTCCCCTGGTGGATGTCCTGGCTGACAGTCCACTCACTACATCTCCCTAATCACTGCAAGGGATTAGGGTTTGGGAGAAGACAGCAATGTGGAGCAGGGTAGGTAGGACTCAATGGTGCAAAATGAAGGGAGTGAGTGACAGGGAAGAGTGGATAGAAGGAGATGGGCAGGACTCAATAGGTCCAGGGAGTGGTGGGAGAGGTGGGAAATGAGGGGGAGGTGCTGTTGAAGGCCAGAAAAGCTGGGGGAGGTGGAAGTCTCTAGGGTTTGTTGGGGACTTAGGGAGCTAGCATCAAGGCTGGGAGCGGATTCTGGGGGACCTCGGAGAGGCGGGTCCGCCGGGGTCCCTGTGCTGGCGGTCCCGGCTTTGTGCGCGGCGGGTCTGCAGTGTGTTGCATAATCAGGGAAAACTGCTGAAGTGGGGAGAACCCGAGGGGGAGGGGGAGGAGGAGGAAGAGGGAAGCGCCGCCCCTCCCCCCTGACCTTGAGGAAGGGGGGCAGCCGCGCCCGAAGATGCGCCTCTCTCCTCCCCCCGTGGGGGCGGGGCACCGGGCGGCGAGGCGGAGCCGGCCGGCCCGGTCTCACCCTCTGCTCTTCTCTCTTCCCCTCCCTGCTGTCTCCATCCTCCCTGCTCCGCGCTCCCTCGGACCTGTCTCCTTTGTCCTCCTCCCTGGTCGCCTCCTCTCGGACCTGTCCCTTGCCTGTTTGCTCCGTCTCCCGCCCCCGGCCCCCTGTGCGTCCTGCCTGACTCTCCGTGCCCCTCCCGCTGTCTGTCTGTCCCGCCCCGGCCCTCAGGATACCTCAGCGACTACGTGGGGCCAGCGTCCGTCTACGATGGCGACGCGGAGGCGGCGCTGCTCAAAGGGCCGTCCCCGGAGCCCATGTATGCTGCGGCTGTGCGGGGAGAGCTGGGGCCGGCGGCCTCAGGCTCGGCGCCACCGCCCACTCCGCGCCCGGAGCTGGCCACCGCCGCAGGCGGCTACATTAACGGCGACGCGGCTGTCAGCGAAGGCTATGCCGCCGATGCCTTCTTCATCACCGACGGGCGCTCACGCCGCAAGGCCGCCCACGCCAACGCGGCCGCGGCCCCCTCCACCGCTTCAGCGGCGGCCCCCGAACGCGATGCCGGCAGCGGGGGCGGGGCAGGAGCACGGGGTGCGGGGCCGGGGGCCGGGGGCCGGGGCGCGCGCACGGGGGCAGGCGCCGAGGCGCGTGCGGGGCCAGGCGCCTCGGGCGCTGCAGGCCGACACGCGTGCGGCGAGTGCGGCAAGACCTACGCCACATCGTCGAACCTGAGCCGCCACAAGCAGACGCACCGAAGTCTGGACAGCCAGCTGGCGCGGCGCTGCCCAACGTGCGGTAAGGTGTATGTGTCCATGCCGGCCATGGCCATGCACCTGCTCACGCACGACCTGCGTCACAAGTGCGGCGTGTGCGGCAAGGCCTTCTCCAGGCCCTGGTTGCTGCAGGGGCACATGCGCTCACACACAGGCGAGAAGCCTTTCGGTTGCGCGCACTGCGGCAAGGCCTTCGCAGACCGCTCCAACCTGCGTGCTCACATGCAGACGCACTCAGCTTTCAAGCACTTCCAGTGCAAGCGCTGCAAGAAGAGCTTCGCGCTCAAGTCCTATCTCAACAAGCACTACGAGTCGGCCTGCTTCAAGGGCGGCGCGGGCAGCGCAGCCGGCCCCGCGGCCCCCGCGCCGCCGCAGCTCAGTCCCGTGCAGGCCTAGGGAGGCGGGCCAGCCGGTCGGCTCTCAGCAATACGGGCCCCCAGGGAAGTCTCCGCCGGCATTCGGGCGGAGGGGCCGGAGGGCGGGCCCCTCCTCACAGCAATAGGGAGAGGGAGCCTGCCTCACCCTGCTCCGCTCGCCAGGGGCCTTGCCAGCCTCTTCAAGCAATAGGGTCCCGAGGGGGACCCACTCCGAACTCCCTCCCCTTTCCTCCAGGGTGCCCCAGGCTTTCTCCCAGCAATAGGGTCGGCCAGACCCAGAACAGAACCTCATCTCTCAGTTGGGTCTCTGAAGATGGGGGTGGGGTGAGGTAGGGAACGCCCACCTCCCTCCTTTGCGCTCCGGGATCGCGCTGCAGAGACTCAGGTCTTCCCCACCCCTTTCCAAGCCTTCCAGGCCGGGCCTTAGGCCTAAACTTTCAGGGGGTCAATACCTCCCCGGCAGCAGGTCGGGGAGGAGACAGAGAGGGAATGGCTACAGAGGTGTCCTACCCCATCGGCTTTGGAGACCTCCCGGCTGTGTTCGACGCGTTGGGGACCGGGGAAAGGGGCGGACGGCGGCACCTTCTCCCTCGAGTTCTTTCTGGGGCCTCAGCCTGAGCCGCCCTCCTACCCTCTCCTCGCATCCTCTGCCAAATCTGAATTCTTCCAACCCAGCTTCCCGGGTTGTCCTCCATAACGAATAATAACGACGCATATCGAATGCATGGACTTATCCGACCTACTCAGATCCCGCTCCTGCCCTGCCCCGGGGCCCCCTCCCTTGTACCCCGGGCTTTCAGTGTTGGAGGACGGAAACCCGGGCCGGCAGGCAGGCGTGCTCTGCCCTTTACACACCTCTGTATTCGCTTTGCGGGTAAAGCCCCCTGGGGGGGTGCGGACGCGTCGGGTTTCTTTCTTTCTGTATTTGTACGTTTTATTTATGAACGGATTGCACTCGGGTCAGGAAGGGGGCCCGAACCCTTCCTTCCCGCCGACGCCGGGGGCCTGGGATGTCCAGGATCACTTCCTCCGCTCCTGAGCCCCGCCCCTAGCTGGGCTCTGCCTCCTGGGAGCCTCGGACCCCGCCTCCTTGAGGTTGGCCCCTCCCCCCGAGGCCCAGGCCCCGCCCTACTAGGTTGCCAACTCTCGCCCGTCTATGCCAAAGCCTCGGCGGCGACCCCGCCCAAGGGCCCGCCCCATTGGCCGCCGCCTTTGTGACGTCACTGCATGCAGCCCCACCCCTCTTCCCAACCCTTCCCGGGGCTGCCCGCTCCCTTTTCCTCTTAGTTAGTCCGATGCCGACTATAGAGCAATAATGCGCACTGCATGCGAAGCTGCCGCAGCCTCTAGAGTTACTGAGAATCAGGTATCCCCCTCCCACCCCACCCCATAGGACCCTAGATCAGGGATGCTGTGCGGGGCCGGCCGCGCAGACTTTCTTACCCTACCTTCCCGCTCCCCACGGCAGAGCCCGGCGGGCGGACAACGTGGTTCCTGGGGCAGAGGCAGGGTGGTTGCACCCAAGGCTCCTCCATCAGTCGTCCATCACTCACCGATCGCCCATTGTGCATTTACTATGTGCCAGGCCCGTTGCTGAGTCCGCTAGAGAAGCAGCGATCTTTGGGGAAGTGTATGTCCACTACAGAGTCCCAGTGGTCTTGGATGGGCCAGGGGCAGACGGAAATGCAGAGCGCCTGGTCCCTGAGCCAATGATCTCTTTCTCCCCACCTCAGTTCGGCTCCACGCTGGGTGCCTTCGGCCTCTGCCTTTGATGGGCCTTGCAGCCCCAGCTCAGGTGGCACAGACTCAGGGCCCCAGGGCCCAGCTTTACCCGGGCAGCCCAGACGGGCGCCCAGCCCGCCGATTCCCTGGCAAGCACGGTTCTGCCGTCCGTGGACAGGGTGCAAGCTGGAGCATATGATGTGGCCAGCCTAATCCTCAGCACCAAGCTTGGTTGTCCCAAACCCCCTCAGCCACCAGTTGTGGTGTCTGCATCGTTTTCCAGCGGGGCCTGCCTGCCTGCCTGCCTGTGCTGCATGCACAGGCTCACACAGGTGCCCCGTGTTGCCCCACCCTGCACCCCTGTCTCCCTACCTAAGGAGAAGGCCAGAAGGTCGTCGGCCCACCAGGCTCTCCTGCTTCCCCCACACCCTGCCGCCGTGGAAAGCCATGGGCCCCCTCCTGCCCCCATAACTAAGCAGCACAATAACCGACTTAGTGAATTCAGGTAGAAGGAACGTTTAGGTAGCACCTATTTTGTACTGATTCTACAAGTAGGGCCCGAGGTGCGGGGCCCTCGGGTGGGGGCTGTGGCCGCCGGCCTGCCCCGCCCCCACCCCCGCCTGCGCCCCGCCGCCTTGTACATATTCCTGCCCGGAACAGGCCGGGATTTTTACTCGGGCCGAGCCCTTCTTCCGCCCCCGTTTGGGGCCGGGCCGGCTGGACAGACGGACGGACGGACGACAGACCTCCTTCCTAAGCACAATAGCACCAGCTCCCCGGAGCGCCGCACCTCCACAAGGAGAATAAATGCCACTCTTGATAGAATTTGGAGTGTTGGCTGATGTGTTCTTGTTGGGAACTGCTGGGGTGTCTTTCTGGTTCTGCAGTCGCAGTGCTGGGAGTCATAGATAAAGTTGTGGCCCAGACTTTTTCTGGACAGGGCTGGCTTTGCTGGCTGAGACACAAGACATCTGTCTGAAGGCAGAATATTTGGCACTTCCCATGGCAGGTGAATCTGTGCTGTACCAGGAATTGAGGGCACTAAAGGGCTCTTGCCCAATGTCAGGCTCAGCCCAGGCTGACCTAGAATGGGCAGAATATGTACAGAAAGGGCTATAGTCCTCTGGCCTAAGAGGCCTCCATCTCCATTCTCTCCTATTCTCCCCATAGGACCCCCCTACCCCCCAGCCTGCTCCCAGGCCTGACTTGCAGGCAGCTACAACAGTGTCGGATCCCAGGCAGCTACATCAATAGTGCTGGATCCCTCATCCTTTGCAAGCCTTCTGATATGCTGTTGGAAGGAATGAGAATGGCAGAGGTTTTGAGGTCAAGTCTCCCTGTGGTCTGCTGCCTTCATCCTGACCCTCAAACTCTGGGTGTATTCTTCTGTATTGCTAAACAATGAACGCCTCCATGGACAGCTGTGCTAGGCCAGTTCCAGGAAGGCGGTGCCTGAGGCAGAGAAGCTTCTAAAGCCACCCATGATCCTCAGGGTCTAGATAGGGGGAGCTGAGCTGACAACATGGAAAGCAAGGTTGTATTGGGTAAGGAGAGCACAGGGGCCTGAATCCCTTGCTCAGCTATGATCTCTGGCAACTGGGTAAGCAGGCATGAGTTGAGTGCTTGCCCAAAGACTACATAGGTGGTCAAATTAGGTCAGCCCTAGGCCAAGGCCAGCACAGCTGTCCACACCTTGGCAGGGGCAGGGACCAGATACATCTGAACTCCACCCAGTGTCTCCCCTGTGAAGGTCGTGGCCTCTGGGCCTGCTAATTCAGGGGACTCTAAAGAGGGAAGAGTGTCCCCTTCTGGAGAGCTCCACCAGCAATAACAACAGCAGGAATAAAGTTGTACATGGTACTGGGAGGGGTCAGTGGCCAAGAGCTCCTACAGAGAGATGCTCTCTGTGTCTGGGCTGAGAGGGGATTATTTCCCTATTTGCAGATGAGAAATCTGAGTATTGGGGAAGAGATAAACAGCATGTCTAAGGATGAGAAACCCAGAGGTGACTTTGACACAGCCTTGCCCCAGTCCCACATCCACACTATACCTACCTAATCTACATACTAGCATATGGCAATGGCAGGCAAGGAAGCTGCTAGCTGCCCATTCCTTGCTAAAGGACTCCACAGTGTTAGTGTGTTGAATGGCCATTTCTGCTTTTTCTGGGATTCTGAGTATGGTGCAACTGGAAGATGGAAGCATTCTCCCCAAGGCCTGGTATGAGCACACCTTATTCCAGTCAACCATGGGAACAACTATCCATTGCAGAGAATGGATGGTACAGGCCAGTGAACACCACTATTTTGAATTCTCCCTACAGCAGTGCCTACTCATGGTCAGCCTCAGGCCCTTTCTTTTCTTTTTTTTGGTACTGGGGATCAAACTTGAGACCTTGCGCTTGTGAAGCAGTCCATGGAACCACTGAGCTAAATCTCTGGCCCCTAAAACTTTATAGAAACTTGAACTTTTTTTTTTTTTTTTGTACTGGGGATCGAACTCGGGTCCTTGCGCTTGTGAGGCAGGTGGTGGAACCACTTAGCTAAATCCCCAGCCCTCAGGTCCTTATTCCACCAGGCCTGCAAGGCTCCCCACCCCACCCTGGATTCCTCCTTATTTACTGACACCTCCATCATGGAGATCTCCACCAAGATTTCCTTGATAACCCAGCCACACACCTTTGTCTTTAACCAACTTTACCTACCCTGACCTTTCTCCTCTCCTCGGTGCCCTGGGCTGTACCTTGCTTTGGATTTTTGGGTCCTGGAGTTCATGCCAGGGAACCCTCTGCCCCATGCCTCAACACTGGCTTCAGCATTACTCAGCTGGCCAGACTCTCCTCCCTAGTGGCTCTAGTCCACCTTCCGGACACCTTTCTACCAAGGTCATTTACTGACTGATTGCTTTGAGCCAGGTATAGTTAAGATAGCCACCTCTCAGGTCAGGGATTTAGCTTAGTGGTTCTGCCACCTGCCTCAAAAGTGCAAGGTCCTGAGTTCGATCCCCAGTACCAAAAAAAAAAAAAAAAAGAGCCACCTCTCTTGCTCAACCCTTCGCTCGTGGGCTGGTGAGCTGTGCCTCTTTGGGCCTATTGTCAGGCTGACCTGTCAACCTTCTCTGAGTATTGTCCTGGAGTGGGCTGGCCTTCTAGTTTTTGGTTCTGTATTGGAATGTGGTACTGCCAGAGCACACTAATTGGGGACACAAGGCCATGGGGAGGCCATACATTCACTGCCTGAAAGGGAAATGGCGAGGGAGTAGTAGAGCTCCTATGCTTCACCCCTACACACCAGGCTCCAAAAGGGACATTCTTGGTTCAGGGATTTAGCTCAGTGGTTTCGCCGCCTGCTGTGCAAGTGCAAGGACATGAGTTCGATCTCTGGTACCAAACAAACAAAAAGGACATTCTTTTCTGTCTTTTTTTTTTTTGGCGGTACCAGGGACTCAGCTCAGGACCTTGTGCATTTGAGGAAGGTGCAGTGCCACAGAGCTAAATCCCTGGCCCTTTTCTGGCCTTTTTAAGGTCAGTAATCACAAAGGCCCACCCCTGCCTTGCCCAGGCCCAGCTACGTCCCATTGCCAGAGACTGGGTTGAACAAGTATGTTCTGGGAGACTGGGTAGGAAATGGAGAGATGGTCCTGATCGAACAAGGCTTATGCATGAGGGGCTTTCTGGCTGGTAGGGTGGCCCTATGCAGGCTACACAGATATCCGGGATGACTGGGCTAGAATCAGCTAAAAATGACCTGTGCAACAAGAACAGGTCACAGGTGGACAGCCCCACAGGCCAAAAGTGGTAGAAGCAGGGTGAGGTCAGTGGGAAGTTTCAGACCAAGATGTTTGTTCGATAGGTGCTTCTATGCTTCTGCTGCTCAACGTGTTTCCGGTGAAATCAGGCCTGTACTTCGCACGGGTGCAGGATGCATGCCCGGGCAAGTGGGCTGTGGCTGATCAGTTGCTTCACTTAGGCTATTGCACCGGCATGCTGTGACTGTGGCCTGGGCCCTTTTCCCGCTTGATCCTGATCTGGCTTTTGCGGGACGTCCCCCTGAATCCGTTCAGCTCAAAGTGCTCCCTGCCTGGCAGCTAAGGGCTCTCGGAGTAGGACAGCGCGCGCAGGGGTTTGCTGGGGCAGGGGTAGTTTCCGCCGGGTGTGCGCTCCGACATGAGCCCCAGGACAAGGCGGTAGTGTTCGAAGCCGTTCATAGTTGACCTACACCCTAAACGGTTCGCTGAGCCGAGGGGTGACGAAATTCTGCTTTTACAAAAGTGGGACAAGGGGCCAGCGAGAGGTCGAGGAAAGTGCCCAGCTGCTAGGGAGCCAGGCGCTGGCGCAGTCTTCGGGCTGCTCAGCCGAAGTGGGTTGCGGTCCCTTTTCCGCAGGGACCCGGAACCACGCCGGGGCCAGGGTAGCCCAGGCAGCTCTGCGACTGCGACTCCCAGGGTGCTCCGCTCTGAGGCCGAAGCTCCTCCTCCTATCGGCCTCGGACTACAAATGGGCGCGCGCGACCACTGCCGCCCAGTCAGCAGTTCCGGAGCAGTGCGGACCCTGACTACGGCGGCCGGCAGGGGGTGGTGGCGGCCGTTACGTGAGTCCGGAGGCTGGGCTGCGGGGCTGCGACCCCGGCGGGCCAGGACTTGGGCAACGCAGGCTAAGGCTATGGGCGACCACGGCGGTGCGGGCGGTTCCCGGCGCAGGAGGACTGGGTCCCGCCCTTCTAGCCTGGGCAGCGGCGGGCCCGCAGCGGTAGCGGAGGAAGTGCGAGACTCGGTCGCAAGCCCGGACGTAGGAGCCGGAGGGGACGCTCGGGCCCTGGCCCGGGACAAAAACGGAGACGCCAGAGTGGGCAGCGGCCCCTTGGAACTGAGGTAGCGGAGCGCCTAACTTCTCACCTCTGACCCACACCCCGTTGCTCTCTGTCTCTCTGGAGCGGCCTCAGTGGTTCGGGCCTAAGTCCCCGGACCATTGTACCCGGGGGGGGGGTGACACTGAAGCTTTGGTGCAGAGGGACAGCAGCCAAGGTCACCCCGTGGGTCTAAGAGTGAGCAGTGTGTGTGTGTGTGTGTGTGTGTGTGTGTGTGTGTGTGTGTGTAGGGGGACCAAAAGCGGCCTGTTAGGTGGGTACTTTTCCGACAAGTCCTCAAAGACTGATGCCTGTCCAGAGTAGTTCTGCCTTCCCATCTGGAAGAAGGTAGATGAGAGCGGATGTGGTGGCCCTTCTGAGGGTCCTTGGGGGTGGGAAAGGCTCCTAGAAGAGGCTGGTCTGCCAGGGAGGGCTCATCTGGCCTCAGCTCTGTCTGAAATCAGGAGAGTGGGGATCTGCCCAGGGCAGGGGCAGTGCAGGAGGCTTTCTTGTCCTTGCAGACCTTCCCCAGAGTTCATTAATCTCTCACCCAGAGGCTGGGGAACCCTGCTTATGCTAGCAGGAGTGCTCACTGGAAAGGCAGAGGAGGTCCCATGTGGGAACTTTCGTCCAGTGGTTGGGGTATAGGAGAGTTTGAGGTGGAGGTACCTATAGGAGGGCCCTGCATACCTGAGTGACTGACATGTCAGTATGAGGGAGTGCACCATGGCTGATGGGGAGAACTTGGCTGCCTGGGCATTGGCTTCCTCCTTCAAACTGGCCCTGAGGGCACTGGCAAGCCATTCTTTCTGGCCTTCACATTGATCCTCAGGGGCTCTGGCTTAGGGAGCAGCTAAGGGGCTAGGAGGAAATGGACAATGGGTGGTTTGGTTGACAAGAACTTACTTTCTCATTAAACAAGCCTTTCTTTGGTGTGTGTGTTGGGGTGTGGGTGTCAAGAAAGGACAGCTGTGGTAT